ATAGAGTTAAATGCTAGTCAAAATGTTTGCAAGATCCAGGATCCTGTAATCTCCCAACATTGCTTCTGTTGATTTTCGTTACTACTATTTTGATTGGAAAGTTGGAACTACCTCAACACATTTGCCCTGATGATAATTAAAAAATATATATTCTGCTTAGATGATCCTTAGTGAATTGACAGATCATAATATTACTGTGTAAAATGAGGAACACAATGATAGCTGAGMATATTTATTACTTACCCAGTCTGCTAGTTTGCCAATAAACCAATGTGTGCAGCACTACGTTAATTCATCCGAATAGCTAAGCATGTTGCTCACTGAGTCAGATATTTCTTGCCTCAAATACTGTTGAAAAGTAAATATCTTTGTACGCCTAAATTAACTCCTTTGGGCTTTTAAGAAGTCCAGGATTGCTTAGCAAACTGCTTTGCCAACTGAAAACAAGAAATCCCTTTGCACTGGTAATATCCAGAACCGATGAGCAATGAATAGGAAGCTCAGTAAAACATGAGCTAGAACTCAGAGTTAAAGATTCCAGCAAAGATCCACAGTCTATGGAAATCTCAGTTTTGAAAAGAATAAACTAAAAAAGAAATGAACAGCATCAGAAGCAGCAAAGAGAAATATAAAATGGTGGGTTTGGGATAAAAAAGATACGATCCTTTTTTCGTATATTTAATAAGTTGGAAGGTTAAAGCCAGCTAAGTCTGTAGGAAAATATGTCAGAGAGATAACTRAGAAAGTTAACCTCAGTATGAAATTGTTCCGAGGGAGTGACCTAGAATTGAGAGCAAGGATTCTGAATTCCCAACAGAAATATCCTCAATATTCTGTATTTTTTCTGAGTAGCAAACACAATTCTCAAGAAAGTAACTTGATTTCTTCACCATTTAGAGTGCCCARCATAGAAGAGTAAAGTCAAAACAACATCCACTACCCCTAAGTGTTGTAAATTAATGGTGTTTGAATTGTGTGTGTTGCGCAATGTTTTACTCAAAATGTCAAAATGATGCTTTTTGTAAAATTGAGCCCCAGGTTCAACTGATAGATCGAATGCAATTTACATCAGGTAGGTTCATCAGAAATTAAGTAACATGAACAAAACTACTATGAACCTTACCTGTTACCCTTAACACCTCTTACTTTTTCTTTTTTTTYCCCATTTTTAACCACAAAGTTATTTTCTTTTTTTCATTATGAATGAAGTCTTCTAATAAGTAAGAAAACAGCAATTTAGAAAATTATAAAGAATGGAAAAACAAACCCACCCAAAGTCCAACACCCAGAAGCAAAGTGACTCAACATTGATATTATTTCTCATTTTCTTCCAGGCCTTTAAAAATGCATTTTTATCCTTTTATATACCATTTATTTCTGGTTTGAAATTTATATAATTTTTAGCAAAAAGCATTTCCCCAAGCTATTGGCAACTTTTTGGATACATTTTAATGATTCTCTAATGATATACAATTTACAGAGTTAGTCATCTAATGAACATTTAGTATGTTTTGTCTTTTTTTTTTTCTTCATTACTTCCAATCAGGCTTCAATGAATGTCTTTATTATTTACCCCTCTCTGGCATCTAGCAGAGAATGCATTCCCAGAGTAACACCCCTCTGGTTTTGTTTCAGTAAGAACATGGTGACTATATAAAACCAGCATTTATTCTTTCCATTTAGCACACACTCTCTACTTTGTTTAATGCAATGGCATTATTAAAATATTACAGTGTTTTTGCTGTAAACATAAGAAGAAGCAATAAAATATGACAGGTCATCAGATATGCTCTAAAAATGTCTATGGCTTACTATTCCTTGKAAATTCCTTGTTATCATAGGAAGGAGATAAATCTTGGTATGAAATCAATTCTACTAGAATTCACCCATGTGAGCCTACCATAAAAAGAACTGTCTTACTACCCACTACTAACAACATGGCACAGAAACAGCTGAATGAAGGCGTGTTTGAGAACACAAACTAGCATTTGACAGACACCGTCATCTTAAGAAACAAGCAGAGCTACTATCTTGAACATCAATGGATTGGGGCTCTTCATTCTTCTGGAAATTCTAAATAAATCTCATTATGAACCTTTGAGCCATTTTGAGGAAAACAGAAAAACAAAGTGATCTTTAATGTCTTTCTCAAGTCTAAAGTTAATAAATTCTATAAATGCACCTCTGTACTAATATTTATACATTTTTAAATGACACAAAAACAAATGACAAAGTTTAAGATTAAATATAAATACAAATAGAAGTTCAAATATCTCTTCTTGCTTTCACCCACCCCCTGAGATGGCCTTGCACACCCCTTGGGTTGTGTGGCCCACTCAATATCTGGCCAAGATTGTAGTAATAAGGCAAACTGGACTCCTTGCCTCCCTTTCATATTCTTTCTGTCCAATCTCAGCTCACCTGTCAGTGACCTTTTCAAAGAGTAAATCCTACCATGTTACTCACCTTCTTAAAATTCTTCTTTGCAAGTTGATAAAAATGTAAGGAGAACTTCTTGAATTATTGTATCAGGCCTTTCATTTTTTTAGTCTCATTTTCCTCATTAATGACCTACYTTTCAGTCAAAAGGTATTTTGAAGGTATTTTGAAACTGAATAGCATACTCTGCACAGTTTTAATTTTTAGTGCAAATTGTGTGTTTTCTAAGCAGAAAGTTCTTTCTTTACCCGCCTTTTCTATTTATATTTAACCTTGAGATTTAGCTCAGATATACTCTCCTTTATGAAATATTACTAATACCATTTGCCAGTTCCCCATTTCCCCTATATCAACTATTTTATTATAATTTAATTAGTTACTTATTGTTTGAATCTACCTCTTAATTGAGCTCCTAKAGAGTAGCAGTCTGATATAGTTTTGGTCTCTACTGCAACCTTACATGTTGATGGCAGTTGGATCAATTTCTAGCACATGGCAATAAATATTTGTGGAATACATGAATGAATGTCTAGGAGCCACACCAAAACTACTGCAAAACACTTTACATATTCCATTTGGTGGCACATATTACTTTAATAAAAGATTCACCAAAGTATGGAAATATTTATCCAAGGTCAAATATTCAGGATCATAGAATAATATCTTGAATTTAAAATTATGTAGCAAAATGATTGATGGAACTGGTAAAAGTACCAGTCTGGAATGTTCATCCCACTATCCCTCTGAACAGCAACCCCTACTACTATTTAAAGGAGAACTGGATTATGAAAGTTATTTACATTGAACTTTGACATGTGATAACTGGATAAAGCCAAAAAATTTCAATTAACTGATTTTGCATTTGATTTTAATAGACTTTAGCATCTTTAAGAGGCTTATTTCTATTCTTACTCCATTTTGAACATTATTAAAATTATGAATTACTATTTGTTATAAAATTCTCATTAAGCACTTATTAATATGATGATTTTTATCCTGCTAATTTTGATGCAGTTACATTGACTCATTACCTAATATTTAAACATCTTTACACTTCTGTACCAAAGTTTCCCTGATCAATGGCATTATTCTTCAGATAATAATATTTTATATATGCTAAAATTTTATCTGGGCATTTTGCATTCATCTTCGTAAGAGTAAAGGGTTTCCAATATGCACATCTAAATATTGAGCCATGTAACTCTTTATTATGTTTTAGAAATCACTTGAAATATGATTGAATCAAATTTATCTCAGAGACTATATTTGGGTATGGACATTCTAGCAGTTCTGTCAAATAAGGAATCATGATAGCTACCGTTTATCAAATGTTTACTTTGTTCCAGTGATCTCAAATGCTTTATTATGTATTAACTTACTTAAATACTAGGAGACAGAAATTATTATTGTAGTGGCACCCCCTCCTCCACAAAAAAAAAATCTTAACTAAGTTTCTCCTGAAATCTTCAACATAATTGATTTTAAGACTATAAGCAAAAGAGTCTGTACAAAATAGTTTGATGTAGTTAAACTTCCTATTTTCCTGTTGCTCTATTACTTGGCCAGTGGCCGGGAAGAAATCAGCACTCCAGGTGCTAAACTCTTCTTTACTTGTTTTTCACAAACATRTATCCAGTGTATCCAGTATAGCAGTTTGTAGAGGTGTGTTTGCAAATGCAAAATGTGATAAAAAAAGAAAAATCCTTTAGCAAGGCCTCTAGCCTTGAGCTGAAGCTTCACAGAGATGTCTATATTTCTAAGATAAGAGAAGTTACCACTTGGGCTCCATGGAAACAGCTGGCGGGGGGAGGGGAAAAAAGGGGAGAAGAAGCTCTGCTCTTCTCAGATGTTGTTCTTGAAGGGTTAACTTGCCCAGAACAATGAAAGAAAAAGCTGCTTTTATGTGAACTTCTGAACCCCTYCCCTTACATGCTGGGTATAAAATTCTGAAACTACCTGAACTCAAGATTTAGGGGATTAACTGATTACATCAAAAGCTGTGCCCTTTGAATCTGGCTGCAGCCAAATAAAACTGTTTCCTGCTATCTTCAGTGCCTTGCCTCATCTGTCCCTACAATACTGTCTTGGAGCAGAAAAGCTAATAACACAGAGATGCAAAGTACCCAGAGTCCCAGAGATGGTAAATTGTAGATGCAGGATTGAAATTCAAAAATTAGGCCCCAAAGCTTATATTCTTCATCATTATATATTATCTCTCCAGTATGTTACAGAGAGGGACATAAATTCCAGAAGTTAGTTTTTCAAAGACAAAATCTGATATATTCACTCTTAATAACCTATGACTATTTTAACAATACAGAATTTTAAAGAGCATTATACTAAATACATGCTATTTATTAATTAATAACATAGATTTTAGAATGATTGTTATTTAACTGTTAAAAATTTTAAGTGGAAGGCTGAGAGTATAGCTTGATAGTAGAACAATGTCTATCATGAGCAAGGCCCTAGATTCAATCCCCAGCATCACACAAAAAAAGAAAACGTATAAGAAAAATATTGCCAAAGTAATAACACCTTTTTTCTTTTCATCTTTTCAGCAATCTTGACACAGAGGAGCTATGTGGTAAGTTTCTTTTAGACCAATCAAGCCCATTACTTGTTTTAGAAAGGAAAAATTTTTCTGGTGTATGTCTAGACACCTTTGAATTAATGTTATAGATTAGGAATTCTGCTACAAATAAAAGATAAATCAAAGATCTCAAGGGGTTTTTTCCTGTATCCATGAGTTTCTCTCAAGTGTGCATTTCACTGCAGAAAGAGTTGGGCTTCTTTAATTTGTTCATGGAAGGAGAATTGTTATTGTAATCAGTGCATTAGTTTCACAAGAGCTAAGTCTCCACTAGTTTGAATATATTTTTAAATTGGTGTTTATACAACCTCATTATTCTCTTCACAATATAACATGCAGAGTCTTTTGTTACTGTTTTGCAAAGCTGTCTCCTTGAAAGGTAAAAATAACTTTGTCCCATACCTGCCTAAACTGTTCTAGAATTTTAAATGTCACTCAGAAAACAAATGATTCAAATGGGAGAGATGAATCTTTACAAATGCCTGGTTTAATGGCCTCTTCATTTATTTTCTTCATCTTTGTAGTTGGAAACAAAAGTCAAAAATTAGAAACGTGCAAAAGTAAATATATCTCAAATTTATTCTTTGTTGCAGAGCAATTATGGAACATTATATTTGAAACAGTCTTATCTCTTTGACTACTGGAAGGTCAGAAACTTTACACTTTAAGATAAATGGATGAGRTAATCTCTGTCCATGTTTGGGATTATTGTCTAGGCAGCCTGGGACTTCTTGGTGGTTAGAAGTGAATTTTTCTGGAAATTCTAACTGAAATSACAAGTACTTCCAGAGTCATAATTCTTACAATTTTAGAGTTTATCAAAACCTTCAAAAAGCATTTTATAACTGAAAAGAGGTTTTCTTCCATTTTAGCAAAGTAGTTGAGCAACACTAAGATAGGTGATGCTGGGATAAAGTGTTAAAATGCAGGATTTCTGGACCACAACTGAAAAAAAAACAAGACCACAATCACTAACTATGAACTCATTTAAAACCTAAGAAACAAATTATTATTAACCTTGTCTTGGGGCAGAAAAACTATGCCACAGAGAYGTAAAGTTCCCAGAGTCACAGAGAAGGTAAATTGTAGATACAGGATTGGAACTCCCAAAGCTTATATTTGTCGTTATTATGCATTATCTCTCCAGTATGTTACAGAGAGAAATATAAATTCCAGGAATTATTTTTTCAAAGACTGAATTTGATATAATCATTATTAATAACCTATGACTATTTAAACAATGCAGAACTTTAAATAGTCATTTTCCAATAGTCATTTAATAAGAAATTGAAAAAACAAACAAACAACTGTGCTCCTTGTAGGGAGCACATATTGTCCATCCCAGGTTCAGGGAGAGGAATCCAATTGAAAAAGCAAGATAGAGCTAAACAGATGCAAGGTACTTTGCTTTTGTTAGTCATGAAACATCAGCAGAGAATATCTTACCATGTGTTCAYACCTGATGGGGCAGTGGCCCCGTTCACACACAGCAATACAGTGCCAAGGGGGTAGAAAGGCCCTGTGGGCCATGACATCAACTTCATGTTGAACAGCAATCATCATAGTCGTGGTTCACTCTCATCTATGTGTAAAAAAAAAAAAAACTCCTCCCAGGGAAATAAAGTTGAGAACTGAGAAAATTATCTTGATAATTACACAAAGGTAGGGGACACATTTGTTCTGACTATCTAGATATGTCAGCCCAAAGTAATCATTTCCTCAAGTCATTCAGCTAATTTATTTTATGTTCCATTTAACTTTTTCTGATTAACACAGCTGAGAAAACAGGTTGTTACAGGGAATTTTAAGATAAAGACACTTAGTGTCTTCTTTATTTGCTATCTTGCATTGTCATTAAGGAATATTCCATTAAACTGTATCTTCCTTTAAAAATACTACAAATTTTAAAATATGGTAGTCTATCTTCGMTTAATCATCCACACATTTTTTTATTAATTTTCTTCTTCCATAATAAAGAACCTACGCGGTATTTATAGAAAAAGACTATGATTTTATCCTCGTAGTTCTAGTTAAGAAACTAGTAGATGAGGTTTAATTCAACAGAGTTGCTCTATATTTTTAAAATCCAGTGATTGTATTCCCAATCATGTTATAATCCTCCCCCTCTCTGTTCAAGAATATGCATTTTAATTTCCAGAGTGTAGTTTCATTTCTCATTATTTTGTGAATATAAAGTAAATATTTAAGTTGGATTCTAATCAAAGCCAAATGCTTCAGTGCTAGCAAGTGAAACATGTAGATTCACACCCTGCACAAGTTCCCTCATGTGCGTGGGAGGGGGAATGCTTGATTGGCACAGAAAGGAGATTTCATGTACTTTCTTCTAGAAGCCAATTAAAAATTCCAGGTATCTAAGACTTTCAATTTGTTGCTTTTGCTTAATTTGCCAGCTTACTCAATTATGTGCCCAGAAATAAAAATCTATTAAAATATTGATTAAAAAATTTTTGTGATTTTAATTATGAAAGTAATATTTAACTACTATTGAAAAATTTTTAACAATACAGAATCACGTAGGTGTTTAAATTAAAATGTCAGTTTCTCTTCCCCTATTCTGATCTGTTCTAACTGCTTTGAACATATTCTTCAAAATGTTTTTATGCATATGTTGACATTGATAGGTATGTATATATTATTGTTTTTCAGCAGCAAGATCATATTATATGATAGGTACAAGTGCACACTGTWCTACCTCATTTTATTAAAAAATTTACATAGAATCTCATTTACATTATTATATATATATATATTGCCCTTTAATGGATTAAATTCCTTTTTAATGGATTTTCCAGATTGTTTCCAACTCTTCACTGGAACAAACAGCATTGAAGTAACTATGTATTATCTTTGCTCTTTTGTTCAAGTAGTTTTRTATGTTGGATTCCTCAAATTGTAATTTCCTAATTAAGCTTTTTCCAACATACGCACTCACTGTCAGTCCATAGGAGTGCCAAGATTATTCTCTCTTCACATATAATTACAAAGTCCTTCCTGAAAGCATCTTCTGGCCTTTYCTTACCACTATTGGTCAATAAGCAAATGGTTTTTACTTAGAATTTTGAATTCTARCATTGAGGCTTTGGTTTTATATTCATGCCATCTTTAGTTCTGATCTGAACAATTGAGAGCATGATCACTACTTTCCCAGTCCTACCCAGTTCATGACTATTTTCATAACCCTTCTYACTTTGACTGAACCCTTTTGCAAATCTTGAACTTGGTAGCTAAGAATTTTGAGATATTTATAGATGAGGGAAGAATACTTGCAAAGAAAGTTCACATAGCTAGAGTACTCTATCTGAAAGCATCCATAAGAAAGCTTTGTGGCCAAGGTAGAATATATTTAATAGTGTGTTGTTGGTTGTTACCTACTAAATACTAAACTATTTTGAAAGATAGATGATGTCTATAAATAAGATTATAAAAACCGATGATACACGAAACTCCCAGAGTAAAAGATGACTACCTTCATGGGCAATATTCTTTTTAGTGGTGATGTGCTGGGCACCCTTGGTCACACCACAGGGCTGGGCACCCCTGGTTATACTGCAGAATTGCAGTGCTGAGAGACCTATGCCAGTGAGACTGGGTGCTGGGAATCAGAGAACTGTTTGTCCTCTTCCATGTTATTATGGAAGGTGCCACTAGGTGATTGAATTATAGAACACATTGAGTGACACTGATCTGCACCTCCTCAAAATAACCCTTATTCTGAATTGCTAACAAATGCCTCTTTTCAGATCACTGGGGTTTTAACTCCCTGTCATCTCAGTTATTTTCTCTTCTCTAAAGTCTACTACTTCAGATGTTCCAACAAGGCGCTGTGGCATTTATTTAAATTCTTGAAAATGCTCTGTGAGCCCCATTGCCTGTGCAACCTTTGTGGCAGCCATGGGTCCTTTGGTTCTGATTTGCAATTCTCAGGCCAAACCTGAAAACTTAACAATTTGGAGGATCGAGGTACAGAATAAAAACAAAAAATAAATAAATAAAACCTGTCATTTGATGACACCACACCCCGATTAAGTGCAGTAGGGAAGGGAGAAACTAACCTCTCATTAACATTTTGTTAGATAAGATGTCTCATTGAATATGCATGAGAAGATAATTTGCTTTCTGACAGTTAACTTGTTTAATATCTCTGTTTATAAATTGTACTCTACTGTTTCATTACAACCGAAGTCCAGACTCTTTTTACTTTCCAAAGATTTTTTTTTCACTTAAACTGATGAGGACTGAATCTTGTACATTTCCATTAAGTGCAATATGACTCTGTTGAATCCAGATCCATAATGGGAATCCACGTACAGATTTCCATAAAAGTAGATCTTTTTTGCGAGGAAGTTATTGTTACCCAAAGGCARTAGTTCCAAGGAACCAATATTTGTTCCAAGTTTTTATTTCTCTCTAATGCCATGATTTAAGRACAAAACACATTTGCCCAGCTCACACTGCCACCATGATTCACATGAAAAACCTGAGGCACAATAACAAGAATAAACCATTAGTTCAAGTTCAGTATTCCAAAGCCACCTCTGACCTCCTCTCCCTGCTTGCCACATTTTATATGCACAGAGAGACTACTGAAGTTCTAAACCACTACCCTTCTTTTACCCCACAGCATGGCCCTGGTCCTTGTCCTATAATGAAATTGCTTCTGGCAATCACTGCAGCTCTTGTCTCTCTTGATGGTGTCACCAACATTCCCCAAATCATCCACATTGCATTCAGGGCAATATTTCTAAAACGACAATCACTGTCCTTTTAAAAATTACTCCATGGCTTCCCAATACCCATAATGGTCTCAAATTTAATCTACACATCATRATCTCCTAGGAACCCCAAGATTCTGATTTAGTAGATGAGAYSTTATAAGYGATCATAATTCCCAACAAGTATYCTAGAACAGTGCTTCTCAAACTTCAATGTACCTACAAATAACTTATTAAAATGRGGATTGTAGCCTGGAGCAGTGGTGAGGACCAGCACTCCAACAGTCCCAGCTACTTGGGCGATGAGAAAGGAAGATCATTGAGCCCAGGAGTTTGAGATGAGCCTGGAAAACATAGTGAGATACTATCTGAATTTAATTAATCAATGGATTAATTAATTAGTTCATTCTAATTAGTTAAATTTAATTTATTATTTTTTTAAGAGCACATTGTGATCTAGCAGGTCTGGGGTCGACCTGAGATGTTATGTTCCAGAACTAACATGAAACTGGTAGTCTACAGACCACACTCCCTACAGTCAGGACACTAGAGGATTCTGATGCAGATGGTCAAAAATACTAACCTAGACCCGAGAATAAAGTTAGAGCACCTTGTAAGGAATGGTTCCAGAACATCTGGCTTCCTTTCTCACCACTGATTTTTAGTATCTTGCTGTCTCCCATCCTCAAATACCTCCTAGTCATGCCCTTCATGTCCTAGTAATGCTGAAATACATATATTCCAGCCAATATGACAAGATATCACCTACTTCCTTGCCTCCCCTCTGGTTGCCCAACACGTTAGGTCCTATTCAGCTATTATTGAGCCATTGTTGATCTCTCTCTTATGACATCCTCTCCAACTTACCCAGGTAGACTCAGGCATTCTTTGCCTTCTATTCAGATTATATCTTATACCTGGACTCTGAATCATCACCTTGAACATCGATCATGTATATTTCAGTTAATATTCATTTTCCATACCTGTTTGTACTCTCCCCAAAGGTAGAGACTCTGTTCATCTTCATATTCAAACTCTTTCTACAGTCCCTAGCACATAAGAGACACTGAATAAACGTGCTAGATTTTGAAATGAGTCAATGAATGCTAACCATAATAAAGTGGAAGGGAATTATCTCCTCGTACCTATGTTAGAGGTCTCTGACTCTATCATCTAACTTTCCTCTTATTATCGCATTGGCACATGTCCCTCAGTGAGGAAGCTATCAAAGAGCTAGAGTGACGCTAAGCTGCATCCGTCAAAATAACCCTGACCCTTAGATTTCTAGTTTATACTGCAATCCAGGACTTGGATACTAGATACTATAGTTCTTTCCCTTCTCAGAATTATGTTCTTTGCTTCCTAGTACATTGCTTGAGAAATTGCTGTTTTCTCTCTAACTACTTGAAGATTTGAGATGAGCAAGTGGATGAAGTTGAGACAGGAGTTAACTTCAAAGCCATGAGTCATTGTTTTTCTTGTGTACTCTATCAGTGTGGGTCAGCATGTGCCCAYATACATAGGATTTCCAAGTGAAAAGACAACTTAAATTCTCTGCAGAACTTTAGCTGACTAGTAAATTTGTCTTAYGTATGGAAGAAATATTTATTTGAAAAGGTGGCATTACCTCTTGTTTTATTTTATAAGACTTCTTTAGCATTGAATTCTCCTTTCCACTTTATAAATCTCTATGACTTGCATTTAAAACTGCTATATAATTCTCTTTGAGATTGTGTATATATTAAAATAAAAACATTAACTTGCCCTTTTGTATGTTTCTTTACAATTTTTGCTTGCTTCAAATTATTGTAGACTCTGTTCTGATATTTATTATTTTTCCAACTGATGAATATTCTGCAACCACATTAACCTCATGCTGGTTCCCAAGAATGTTGTCCACTGGGACTTCATTTATTACAAATAATTGCACAGACAAGGTTAGACATCTTTGTCAACCCTATCAGAAAGTCAACACCATAACCAGGAATTAAAATGSTATTTGAAGCAGGCATTTGAGGAGTATTTTCTTATTTAGAATCCAACTTTACCCTTTCTAAAAAAKAATCTTTTTAAGAAATGCATCAATATGGTTTTTAAGGATTCTATAATCAAGAATGCATTTTGCAGGCTTGGGGTTGTGGCTCAGTGGTACACTGCTCTTCTAGCACACATGAGGCACTGAGTTCGAACCTCAGMACTACATAAAAATGAAATAAAGATATTGTGTCCAACTACAACTAAAAAATAAATATTAAAAAAATAATGCATTTTGCTTTCAGCAAAAATCTACCATTGGCTTTTAATCTATGTGTGCACAGACTATATTTTSACAACTTTAATCTAGAATTTATTCATTGCTTACCTATGTTTTCATTCTTTTCAGAGAAGTCTTCACATTGACTAGTAAATTTGTCAAAGGCACTATTTATTATTAATATCAGTGTCAACGAATAATTCCATTTGGAGCATTAAATAGATTAATCAAGGCAGTTTCTATCAAACATACTGAAGTGTATCCCTGTAATCTCAGGTGGCTTAAAGGTTTCTTTTTTATCCTTTCAGTTTAATTTCATAAGTACTTACCACACATTAGAGGGAGACAATAAAGCCAGGCAYAGTGGTGCAYGCCTGTGATCCCAGCAGTGCAGGAGGCTGAGGCAGGAGGRTCTCAAGTTCAAAGCTWRYTKCAGCTACTTAGATCTCAACTTAGCCAGCCTCAACAATCTTGTCTYAAAATAARAAATAAAAAAGGGCTGGGGATGTGGCTTAGTGATCAAGTGCCCCTGGATTTAGTCCCTAGTACCAAAATAAATAAATAAAGAGAAACAATAAACTACACTTCTATTCAAAGATGAGCTGTCGAGGGTTATTGATTTTCTATTAGCTGGAATAACCAGGATTTTTTTTCAATATGTAGTTTTCTGTTAGGTTTAGATCTCTCATTTTAGAAATGWATACATTTCCAAAAGTAAATATGAGGTTCTGCGTTTATCTTTATATTTAATCTGTGTTCCATTCTTTTCATTTTAATCACAATATCCAACACACTTTTTATTCCTAGTAACTGAAAAATGTCATAAACATGACTCTGCTCTTTGAAAAATATTGTTTGGAAAAAAAAATCACAGGGTGCCAGGAGCAGTTTCAAAACAGTGCCAGAGGAGGCCTCCCTCAGGTGTTGAGGCATCATTGATTCTTTGCCTTGAAGAGAGCTTAGCTTCCTTGAAGGTTTCCCAGAAGAAAGAATAAAATATAGCTTAACTTTGTTCTAAAATTAACTATCCCAGTGAAATCTATAATAATATACTGTTGAGAACAATTTTTTTTTATTAAAACAACCCTGTCAGTAAATCCAGATTCATTTTTTTCCTATTTTTATAGGAAGGAACATTGCTTCTCAGACAATGGTAACCATCCAGTTGTATTTATCTTCTTCTTTTTTAAAATGAATTTAGTATATCAATCCCTTAGTCTCATTTGAAAACCTTCCAGTTTTCCTTTATGGCCAACATTTTGTGTTACTAGTTTGTGAAGAAAATTATCTGTTGATTTTTCYGTTTTATCATCACCTGAACTCAAACCTGAATGCATTTCAATATTTTCACTTTTCAGAATATTTTTCTCAGCACCTGGGCGAGTATGAGAACGTGCTAGCAGCRCTGGAAGACCTGAATCTCTCCATCCTGAAGGCAATGGGAAAAACAAAGAAAGTAAGGTGTTTGTTTTCTATAAAAATCTTTTCTTTGAAAAATATTTTTCTTGAAAAATTATACCTATTTCTTAGCATGTCATGAAAGATAGATTTCTTTCTTTTCTTTTCTTTTCTTTTTTTTTGATCACTGGGGACTTAATTTTCTTGATATTAAATGATCTATTTACTATTGTATAATTATAAACAAACTCTGTGCGAGGAACTCTGCTTTGTGCTGAGGATACAAAARTACAAAAAGTTATTTAGGCAGCTCTTAGTCTGGTGGGGACACATATGTGTAGATAAATAATTACATGATCGTGTAGCAAAGAGGAGCACAAGATGGGACACCCAATTCATGCTGAAAGCATGGCACCTGTGGATGCAGAGATAAAGGAAATAGTATAGCTAGACAAAAGAGAACTAAATATGGAATAGCATGTGCTGAGACTCTGTACACAGGGCACTCAAGGAAATGAAAATGGACAAAAGACTGAACTAAAAAAAGCCAAAGGCTGGCTCCARGTGAGGTGAAACTGGAGTGGGAAGGGGACACACCTTTCATGATGTTAACAAAGCTAAGGATTTAAGCCTTTATCCTGGATGCAAAAAACAAAAACAAAACAAAAATAGTGAATATTTTAAGCAGAGAGATGAAAATTCATGCAATCTTTCAAAAAGACCATAGAAGAATTAGTTTGGGATTGGGGTGAGTATATTGGAGGATACAACCATGTAGATTGTATAAGGAGGTTAGTTCACTAGTCCAGGTGAAAGATGTCATTTGGAGATTCTAGAAGAAGATATGGGGAACAGAGAGCAAATTGCATACATATTTGACAAAACAGAACTTGGAGGAGGACTGAAGCTGGAGGATGAGAGAAATRTGTGCCTAGGAGGGATCCTAGTTTTTAGCTTGTGTACCAGAGTCATGACTCTACCCTGGGATTACTGAGAGTGGACCAGGAATGAGGAGGTAAGATCATTAGTTCTCTTTTAGACATATTGAGTCTAAATTCCCTTAGAGACATCTGAGGAGAGTCAAATAAACCTGTGGCTACAGAAATCTAGATCTCATAGGTGAGGTCTAGACTTGGAGATATGAATTTATGAATTGCCAATACTTGGGCAAAGAACTTGAATAATATTATCAAGAGAGAAAATAAAAAGTACAGTGAGGAGAGAATATAACACTATGTCATAAGAAAATTGAAATTTGGRTGGTGGGAGGAGAAGAAAGAGCCAGCAAGAGAGTCAGAACTGGGCAGAAAGATGTAASGAAAGCCCAGAAGATATAGTCCAGAGGTTGAAGAAGAGAATATTTCAAGAAGTAGAGAGTAGTCAATAGTGTTGATCACTATGTAGAGATTAAGAGAAATAAAAATTAGAATTCCTATTGTCAGTGAATCAAGTAACATTTTAGCATATAAGATGCATGACAGGACTGGGATTGTGACTCAGCGGTAGAGCACTCGCCTAGTACGGGCAGGACCCAGGTTCAATCCTCAGCACCACATAAAAATAAAGGTATTGTGTTGTGTCCATCTACACCTAAAAAAATAAATATTAAAAAAAAGATGCATGACAAATATAAATTTTAAAGCATGTAAGGAATTTTTTTCTGGATAAAGACAACAGATTTATACATCCATTGAATTCTGCTTGTTTCTAAACCTCATAAAAAATGACTGGAATGAGATTATTTAAATGGGCAAGGATATAGTAACAAAATTTAGGAACTGAAAAGCAGATGGGCCAATGGTAGCTGAAAGAAGACTTGAGACACTGAATTCTTGGCCTGCAGTGGCAAACAGAAAGTCACTAGCTTATCTCATGAGAAGGCTCAGGAATCAGTGGCACTAGTAGTCACCAGAAGAGGAGGGTATAGGGTAAAGTGAAATGATCTGCTAGGAGCCTGAGCAAGAAGCAATTAGACCCCCAGACCCCCTCTTCTACTCCAACCAGCTGATCAATGGCCTCTTTGTCAACCCAGGTTGAAAACAGATGTGTTTCTGAAAAGAGTAAAAGAGGTCTCTGTTCTGGGGCAATATCAGACACAGTTGAAGAATTCAGTAAAAGTTTATGCAATAAATAAAAAGGTCTCCAGCTCTCTTCTCCTATTAAACTCCCACAGCTTTGACAGTGCATCCTTCGAGCAGACAGGAAGATTCTTCTYTCAGAAATCCTAACAGCACAAAAGGGAAAACAAAAATCTACAGATTCTCCTTTGATGAGAGCCTGGCCAGATCTCGCTCTCCTTCTCTGTAGTACCAATCAACCAGTTCCTAGCCCACCTACCATTAAATTCACATAATCAGGCTATGAAGGGCAAAGAACAAACATGAACAAACAARGAAAGAAAGAAGAAAAGAAGGGAAGGAAGGAGAGAGAGAGAGGAAGGAGTTAACATAGGGGATTGTGTGGGAAGACGAATACTYGAGATAATTTTAGAAAATAAAGTTTAGAACATCTCCCAAAATATAAAGCAAAACAGAAAATTGAGGCCTGAGCCTAGGATGCCCTGTACCCAAACACTAAATTGAAGAAAGGAAGAAAAAAAGAAATACAAGTAAAATCAGAATTCATTTCCTTTTGACTTCTTCAAGAATTTGAAAATTGCATAATTAACTTCATATCTTGAGAATTTCTCTCTAGGAAGGTCACTTTAAAAACCCCTTCCTGGGGTGGCTTCTCCCCATTCTTTAAGTCTTTTCTTGAATACCATGGCCTCAGGAATGTTTTCTCTGCCCATCCTACCTACAAAGTTTATCCCTCTGGGAGTAACTCATTTGTTTCCTGCTGGTGATTATTAGAATGAGTAAGTACACAGTTTATTTATTTTTTTATAGGGAGAGAAGAACAGTGTCACTTCTCKATTTAAACATTTACCCTCAGCGTGTCACAGACCTGACAAAAGTCTTCAAAATTTTATTGATAAGTTAAATAAATTTATATTCATTGAATGAATACTCATGCAACTCCCAAAGCTAAATATTTTTCCTCCTTCAAGAAAAATCTCCCCTAAGTCCATTTATGAAACTAAGATTTTTTAATATGAAAGAWGGCAAATATGTGGTTTTCCTTATTTTCTCACAGATGTGCACTAAAATCATGTTATTTCCCTTGTATGAATACAATGGGGCTTTGTGGAATTAAAATTGAGGTCAACCTGTTATTTTGATCTCTTAAACTATAAAAAAAATTTTGGGGGGGGTGGGTATTGATACCTAGAAATGCATTTGATTTGTATCACCTTACTGCTTAATTAAGCTTAATTAAAGAAAACATGTATCTTTGGTTTTTTTCAAAAAAAAAAAAAAGGAAAAGGAAAAAGGAAATGRTAGCAAATAAGATTAGAAAGGGTCCCTCAGTCCGATGCTCAAAGATGAACTACATGCAGGAACTGTGGCATTTTTCAAGCTGCTGGTGCTCTGTGGCCTTCTCTGTGCTGTCCAGACAATGAAGCCTTCTAAGTGAGAAAGTTTCTTTTCGAGAATCTCGGTATATTTTTACCCAGATGAAAAGTCCTGTCTCAGCAGGAAGAGCTGACTATTCCAAGCTTTTATGAAAAATGGAATACAAGCCATTTGTGGTCTCTTTTGACTGGCAGTACATCTGTTTGCTGTGTCAGAGAACAGATTAAAAGGGTTCCAACCACTCAACCAAAACCCCAGGAGGTGACTCAGGACAGACATAAGGTGTCATCATTTCCCTTCTCCTCCTTCTGAATCCAAGACTTTCAACACATCCTCAAGGGCTGCCTTGATTGTTTTACTTTGCTTACTTTTCTGCAACAAATATCATAGTTTAAATTCCAAATGATGATTTGAAAGTTCTGAAAGTGGTTAAAACTAGACCCTTCAATCAAACATCAGATTTTCTCTCTCTCTCTCTCTCTCTCTCTCTCTCTCTCTCTCTCTCTCACACACACACACACACACCCACACACCCATTAGGTTTTTCCGTTTTTCTTCTTTCTACATAGTGGGTGATAAATGGACTTACAGTATGTGAGGTGATTATAACCCAAAACAAAGGTAGAATTCTGGTGCTAAAGATAAAGTTCATTATGTGCTATGCTATATGTAAACATACATGGAATTTTCCTGTTTATTGGTAAAATGGGAACAGGAGATCATTATCACTTCAGTGAAGAATGGTGTTCTTTAAATAATCATTTAGGGGTCAGTAGTCACTTGACTGAGTATAGCCATGAAAACTTCCAAAATTAAAATGGTATATGTACAGTTTTTATCTAAAAGTTATTTTTCAAACAAGTGTATCTTGCAATCCATCTTCCTTGATAGCAAGGGAAGAAAAGGCCAGATCTATAGCACAGCTGGGCCTCTATTATCACTCTCCCTCTCTGGGATCCACGTGATTTCTTGGGCTGGCACTTCTAGTTCTTCATCTCAACCTCCCATCTCTCCTCCACCACTGTCTCCTTGGGTTCAGCATCCAGGCCTCCCTGGATTCCATAGGCCTTTCATTATGTAAATGTTACAATAGTTTATTTTATGACTTTTATTTTAAAAAAAAAGAAGAAGAAATACTGGTAGGTCTCAGTACTTCTCTATGGGGAAAATATCAGTAACTGCTAAAGTTTATATAGGATTTATCATGAAAAGTGTCTCTTCTTTCAGGTGAAATATCAGAGCCAAAATGGCATCGTGTAAAAGAATGAAATGCCCTCTTAGGCTTAGAAGACAGGTATTTTCATTCTTATAGTTTCATTATAATCTTTAGTTTCATTACAAGTGTTCATCGAAAATAAAAGGGAAGAGCTGGGCGCGGGGGCACACRCCTGTAATCCCAGCGGCTCAGGAGGCTGAGGCAGGAGAATTGRGAGGTCAAAGCCAGYCTCAGTGAAAAGCRAGATGCTAAGCAACTCAGTGAGACCTTGTCCCTAAATGAAATACAAAATAGGGCTGGGGATGTGGCTCAGTGGTTGAGTGCCCCTGAGTTCAATCCCAGGTAACAAAAATAAATAAAAAAAAGAAATGAAATAAAAGGGAAAAT